CCTTAGCCGGTTGAGCTATAGGCGCCAAGCCAGAATCCCAAATTTTAATAACAAACCACACTTGATACTCCAAATCATTAAGTAGGGAAATTAACTCCCTAGGCTCCTGCCCCAAAGGATAGTGGATTTTCTTCTAGGAACTCCTTAAGTTCCTCCTATCTGAGCCTTCTCCTTCTACCCTTTTACATGAGGGGTTCAATATCTATTTTTATTAAAAGACACCCATTAGTTCCAGAAGACAATGTACTAACAATACACCAATATTATACCATTACAACCCACAAACACTTAATCAAACATCAATGAAAGGAATTTTTGCAAATAAAAGTTCCAATTACCAGCCTCAAGGGGAAACCTGTGGCCATATCATTGCTTCTTTCTAAGGGTTATTGTTTCTTTTCTCTCTCCAGATGATTTCATTGAGAAGCTTACTCGGTGTGAGTTTTTTGATGAGGAAGTCAAGAGCTCAGTATTTTTCTTAACCATCCATGATGCTATTTTGCATATTTTGATGAAGAAAGATTACAGTACTTCAAAGTTTAATTCCTATCAGGTACTAGCTCTGTGAGGACTTTTAGATTTGTATAACCAATCATTTATACTTCATTGAATTTCCCTTTATTTTTCCGTATCTATAAAGATAAAATAGAACTCATCCCTAATCCATATTTCCATTCTCTTTTTCTTAGGAAAAAGACACGAAAGTTGATTTTACCATCAATACAAATGGAGGATTACGTAAACGGGAGTATCAGGTAAGATTCTTCAACAGGTTTATCTCGACCTAGACATCACAGCCAACAAATGCAGAAGTCATGAGGCGTCCTCCAGCTTGCTGCAGAATGTCCCTCGTGTGGGCGGACATCTGTGTCTTATCCCCAGAAAATGGAAGCAAGGCCAACCAAACTCATAGGGGATTGTGAGGAAAATAACTCACACAAAAGAAGATGAAAAATAGTGATCTTTGTATTTTACATGTCATTATCCAAAAAAAAAAAAAAAAAAGGAAAAATAGTGGTAGATTTCTATTAATGTGATAGCAAGCGTATCTTTTTATTTTTTCAAAGTCCTTACAACAGTGCCCTTATTCTGGCCCTATAATAATCAACGAGGCAGGGAAGGTGTTGCTATTTCCATTTACAGATGAATTAGTGATTGTTCTGAGATGCTAATACACACCTCCTGAGGGGCATGAGAAGTCCCTTGCACAGCAATGAAAGTTAAGCTTCTTTCTTTCCTTCCATACTAGAGTGAGTTCCAGTTTATCATTTAACTAGATAGTATCATTTCATTTTAGAATACTCATTTCTAGAACCTTCAACCCGTTAAGGCAACGTTTCTAGTTTGGGAAAAGCAGAATCAGAAATCAAAATGGGCTTCTGCTGTAGGCCAGGTACATAGCAGGTGTATTACATTCATTATTACAATGTTTGTAACAATATAAAAAAATGGGATCTTATTTTACAAATGAAGACATTGGGAAAGAGGCTCAGAAAGCTTAACTCATTTGCTTGAGGTCACATACCAAGCGACCCCAACAGGATTTGAACTAAGATCTGCCTGATGACAAGACCTGTCTTCTGTTCACTGTAGCATACCCCCTCTATCCTTTGGTGAAAGATTAATGGATTGAGGGACCAGAAAAAGAATCTAATGGTTGTCTTCAAGGGAAACATGGGAGACGCCTCCTTCATGGGAGGTGGCTGGTGGTATTTCTCTTAATTGAAGAAAGGTCTAAGGACAACAACAAAAAAAGGCATTTAGATTAGAAATGAAAAAGAGGCTGGACACAGTGGACTCGCCTATAATCCTAGCACTCCAGGAGGCCCAGGTGGGATGATTACTTGGGGCCAAGAAAGAGTGAGACCCCCCAATCTCTAAAGATAAAAAATACAAACAATTATCCAGTTGTGGTGTGGGCCTATGGTCCCAGTTACTCAGGAGGCTGAGGCAGAAGCACTTGAGCCCAAGAGTTTGAAATTGCTGTGAGCTAAGATGACACTGCTGCACTCTAGTCTGGGTAACAGGATAAGACCCTATCTAAAAAAAAAAAAAAAAAGTGAGGGAGGGAGGAAAGAAAGAAATGAAAAAGAAATGTATAGCATATTCTGGAACATTATTAAGTGTGATATCAAGCAGCAAAAGTCAGATGAAAAGGCCATTCCAAAAATTTGGATAGACCTGAGTTGAGAAGAGAGCCTTGAGCACTATGATTCTGTTTCCCAGGAGTTAGTTCCAGAGAAACCCAAATCTGGCACCTGGCCTGAGTACCTCATAAGGAAAGCCTCGTACCAGCAACCTTCCTCCCCAGTACTTGGACTCAGAATTGTCCCCAAGTATTATTAAAGAATAAAGCATAGGGACAGCATGGTGTCTCATGAGCAGCATGAACAAACTTAATGTCTGATCCAAGCTTTAGTACCAACTGTCTAACAAAATGTGGTCACCACAATGCTGTACCTGGACTTCCTCATATTATTAAAAAAGGAAACATTTAACACCAGCTCTTTGCCTTGCTTAAAGATAAATCAACAGTTGCGGAGAGGCCACCAGTGATGACTGGGGTAAAAGCTGAATGTGCTAGGCCAGTGGACATAGTCCTTCCGAACAAACATGAAATGATACATTGCTACAACACATTGCATTATTTTTTGATTAAGTTAGACCTTTGAAAGATACACTATTACAACATAGTATCACAATTGATCTACCACTGGTAACCATGTAGCAATAGAAGATATTTGATGATTAAAATTCAAAACAACAAAAACAAAAAAACTGTGTTGATAACAATGGTAAATTCTAGCTTCTAAGATATTATTAAAAGCAACAGAGCTTAACAAATCTTGTAAAACAAGAATTTTCTGTCTTCTTCCAGGTACCAAGTGAAACAAGATTCTAATCAAAATACAATTCTGAGGGATCTTCACCTATCACATAAAGAACAACTTTGTACTCAAAAAGTTATTGATAAGTTCATACATTGTATGAAGGCTATTTTTATTTGACAGAATTATGTTTCAAACTTTGGAACGAGATTGTTCTAGCATGGTATATTTTTCACATCCAGTATGAAATTATGTAAATATTCTTAATTTTATATCTTGTAGATTTATCAAAGGAGAGGTTGTTTATATGTATTTTTGTAGCACTGACAGATTTCCATCCAAGTCACTGCCTTCATGCACAGGTTTGCCGTGTACCGACAGCACTGTTTTGAATCTCATAATTTATACAGGTCATACTAATTTATCTCTGTTTTTTAAAATTCAGTTGTACAGTAGACGTGTCGTTTTGTTCAATTTCTTCCCTTTCTGAAGCTATTTGCTGTGGATCCCTCTTTAAAGTGGTCTGGCTGGAAACCTGCTACATGAGGATCTTGTAACAAAACCCCTATACTAGGGCTTCTTTACCCAGATTTTCTGATTACCAATCCAGCTTTTTAAAGTATCCAACTTCCTATCCAGATTTAAGCACAATCCGTCTTATGTAATACCTGTAACTATACAGATTTACAATGAAGAGTTCATGGGAGGTATACAATGACACAGCAAAGGAGGTGAAAAGTCTAGATAAAACATGATGCGGAGATGCTTCTTCCTGGTCTCACTGGGAGGAAAGAAAACAGATGGGAGGAAAAAGTATAACTCTTCTTTTTTCACTGTCTTATAACTCACAGAATAACCGCTCCAGAGTTCCATTTAGCTAGAGAATGAGATTCGACACCCTGCTTCTTCTCTTTCTCGTTAACATTGTTCTTAAAAAAAAAAATTGTATTTATTCATGTAATAGAAATTAAACATCAGCACCAACAGAAAAAGATCCAGTGTCCTCTATTAAACATCAAACCACTTTGTCAATGGGAAAAGCTGCTACAATTGTTTTAGATTCTGCCTCTGAACGTCTGTCAAAGTACCTTTCCATTCTTTGTTAAGGTCTTACTGAGAAGGCTTGTCTAATGGACTTACAACCAGTTTCAGAAAGGTAAAATAAAGGTCATTTATGTAGCCAGCCTTAAAAACTAGAATATCAGCACTCTTTATAGAGGTGTTTCTTAAGCTTTTTGAGTCAGGTACACCTCACAGTCCCATGTAGCCTATGGACTTAAGAG